TCATTTTTCACTCACAGTCCAATTGAGTTATTTTTCTTTCCTTCCTTTCTTTAGTTATACTTTGTGAATTAGTTTAGTAAATAATATTAATCTAGCTCAGTGTCAGCAACAACATTTTCTATAAAAATCATTTTATATCAGGCCTAGTTATTATTTTTTTCTGTCTCAGTGGTTTTGTAATATTTCTCTTAGTTTATTTTCTAAAAAGTCTCTGTGCATTTAAAATCGGTTTGGGAATATTAAAATTAGGCAGAGCTTGTATGCAGGATAGTAATCTGGGTGGTTCGAGGGTGGACCGTAAGTGGCAAACAGTCAGCAGGGTGCCGACCTTATCAAGCACTGCATCCCTCAAAATTTTTGACAGAATTCACGATTTTGTATTCTTTTTGTGTTTTCGGACATCAAGCATTCATTGTGCTAATATGTCATATAACCAGTGGGTATCCCTCCACAGCAAAAAAGAAATCCTGACTGCTAGCATAGCCACCGATGAGGCTAAAAAATACAGACATGGTATTCAGCTTCCTAGAGGTAATGTTAGTTATTTGGCTTCTGTATTAGCCAGCTAGTCGGCAGGGGGTTTAAACATCCCACCCCAAAAAATCCATCTCAAGTGCTTAGTTTTTCAAAAGCTCCTCCCACCTTCAAGATGCATCATACAGCACAGCAGAGTAGGTGTGTTTACAACAGCATTTTAAAGGAACTCTTGTCTTTAGAAAACATCCATAGTAGAACATTTTGGGCTATGCTTGATAAATAATTCTATTAAAAAAGGGCTTGAATTATTTAGTGATATTGAACGGCACCTCTGGTTTGTGGTGTGTTCTGTCGATCCCCTTCTTTGGAGAAATAATTGCAATTCACCCACTGTAGCTCATTCTTCATTCTTTCCCAAAAGAGGGCAAGTCTGCTTGTACATATGGTCATTGCTGACTGCGAATATTGCTTTCTGGAGAAATACAAAAACTCCACATCTGCATATGTTCTCCAACATGCCTTCCAAACACAATTTATAATCCAAACAAACTCTAGCTAGGGCTAAGTGAACCATCAACGGCCTTGCCAAGAAAATGACGGGTGCCGTTTAAACGAATTGAACTTAAGTTGATTAATCATTCCACAGAGGAGGAAACAAATACACTCATTGATAGGAAAGCAGCTGGCAAAAATTAGACCATCTATACGTGGGCCTCAAGTGTCGGGCTAATAGCGCCAACCGCTAAATACTTTCATGTAAGGAACTTTAGGTTTACGATTCATCAGGAAGGGTTAAAGCCTCAAGTCACTCCACTTTCAGAAAGGACTGTAAGTCATTACACAAACCCTGTCAACGCAAGCCAAAGAATACATAACGTACACGCATTTGGCCAAAACTTTATACTAAGCAATACACTTTTTAGCACTATTTTCCATTAGCTAATACATTAGTCCCTGAATATAATGACACTGGAGTCATCAGAGAGAGTTTTTTCAGGAACTTACCAGCTGTTTTTAGTGTCATAACCAGACACTTTGACAGGACCCCCTACAATTACAACTAATTACGCACATATTCAGCTAATCGCTGCACTAACTCTCAGGCTAGACTTGCCAGGTGTGTTTTTTTTCACTCCTAATGACACTGGGCTGATCAGGAGCTATTTTTTCTGTCCTGTGTTTGTCAAATGAGCGAAAAACTGGCTTCTCTGTTTAATGCAGGGTGTGAATTCTCGGTGGAGTGCTGGGCTACGCCAGACCGAGCCTTGATTAGCTTAGACTGCTAGGTTAGCAGTAAATGGGCGAGGCCCTGCTGCTCACCCGCATATCAAGAAGCCAGATGCTTTAATTAGCCCTGTGCCTATACATCCACCAAAGCTCCATATGAGTGCGAAATGTCACAGCCCCCCACCCCTAACCTTCTCTGGAGCTGAGTGGATTAATCTGCCTCTTTGCTTTGGAGCCTTTTTTTGCTGTAGGGACGGGGATTTTTGCACCTTGATGAGAGATATCAAGGGGCTGCCTGCTACCTGCAAGAGAACAGCCCTTTTGAAGCCAAGAGCCCTTCATAGAGCTAGGCCAAACGGGGGAAGTGGAGAGATGGAGAAAGGCAGAAAAAAAGAAGACAGAAAGAGATGATGGATGACGAAAAACATACAGTCCTCTGGAAAGGAAGGAAAAACAGTTTTTACTGTATGTTGTTGCTTTCTAAATTGCAGTGCCCGCTTGCCATCATCCTGTTAGTCACATAAAAGTTGCAAATTGTGGTATCATATAGAAATGTATTGAAAAGTTTGGGCACTCTTTTCAAATTACAAATGTTGTTATTTGTGCACTAAAATTTGCCAAAAATGTCATATTTAAGTTTGTTTTGGAAGAGAAAGTGCTAAAAATTTGCAGTAAAAACAAAAAGTAATGCAGTAAAAAAGTTGTTTTTCAAAATGTAGACTGAAAAACAATTTTGCTTACAGATTACACATTTCTGCTTGACGTCTACAGACCTTGCATGTATTTATTTTATTCAATCACTAGCACATCTGATTTAATGTAATGAATATTGATTAGTCAAACAAGGTATTGGATAATAACCACAGTTAATACTGGGCAGACAGACAGACAGACAGACAGACAGACAGATAGATAGGTAGACAGACAGACAGATAGAATGTGAACCAGAGCGCTCATCCATTACCCAATAGTACCCAAAAAATGCTGTTCTAAAGGTTTTTTTTCTGTGGACAAAAAATATTGTTTATTATTCAAAGAAAATTGTTTTACATTTGTTTTTTTTGTTTTTTTGTTGTTTTTTTTTTAACAAACTACAGCCAGTGGCCATACCATTTTAAAATGCTTAAAATTTTAAAAGTCCTTAAAAAATAAAACAGCTTGTCACAATATATTTGGTGTGTTTTATTTTATTTATTAGTTAGCTGGACTAATCGTTAATGGTTGAGCATTTGAAGGTAACTGGTTATCTGGACCTCTGTAAGCAAAAAATGTGATGTAACTGGAACCGTCGCAAGTTTTAGTTGAATACTTCTGACACAGTGACTGTGAAGCTGATGACAAAATCTGATTAAGACATTTTGCTTCCAATTAAGACTTAAAACAAAGAGCAAGCCTTAAATTCATCAACGTCTTTATTATGCATAAGAACACACAGGCAAAATGTAGCACAGCGTTCAATCTGACAAGACTTTTTTGTTGGATCTGCTGCTTTGTTCTTGACTGTGTGCTACTTCTCATTTGTAAAAACTGGCGAGAAAAGAAGCGATTCAAGCCGATCTTTGTGATTTCAGCTGAGGCACTTGATAACATGCAGTTATGATTATAATTCTCTGCAGGTACATAAGCTAACTGGCACATGGCTCAAGGACAACAGAGGACCGAGAAAGTGGCTGATTGTTCGAGCTGATGAAAAGAGAGCGAAGGAACAGTTTTGCAAAAAATCAAATGTGCACAGTTCTCCTCTTTAAATGTAGTCAACCAGCAAAGAGTTCAGTGTCTGAAGTTCACTTCTTTAGTTTTGCACTGGAGCTACGAAGCTAATGTAGCTAACAAGTAATCTGAGTTTAGCTGTGTGATGTAGATGAGAGCAGGGCACAAACTAAGCGGGATTAAAATGTACACTCTCAAAAGATGGTTCTTCAAGGGTTCTCTAGTAAAGACAATGCTTCTATATATAACCATGAACACTCAAAGAACCATTTGCATGCTTAAATGTTCTTTGCATGGTGAAATGGTTCTTCATATTGATGGAGAATGTGTTTTATATGGTCTTTTAAAGCAAAAGAGGGTTCTTCTATTGTTACAATGTCAAGCTTATAACAATAGAACAACCCTTTTTGGTGCTATACAGAACCATTTTCAAAAAGATTCTATATGGAACCATATATAACACACACTTGGAGTACACACTTAAAAAAGATGGTTCTTCATGGGTTCTTTAGTAAAGGCAATGGTTCTATTTAAATATGTATGTATAGAAACATGTATAAGATTCTATATAATAAAAAAAGGGTTCTGCTATTGTTACAGTGTCAAGCTTGTAATAATAGAACAACCCTTTTTGTTGCTATACAGAACCACTTTCAGAAAGGTTCTATATGGAACCGTATATAACACATCCTCCATCAATCTGAAGAACAATTTCACCATACAAAGAACCATTTAAGCATGAAATGGTTCTATATAGCACTCATGATACTACACAACAATCAGAAAGACATTTTTCCAGGTTTGCTCTGAATGAAAAGTTTTTTCTGATTACTGAGTTCTGTGAGTCACAGAATTAATTTCTATATTATTTTAATCTCCTTCTTGGTGGCTTTACACACAGCATTGTTTTTAAGCACTGACTCACTCACTTACTCACTCACTCACTCACTCACAGTGAGAGATAAAGTGCGGCCTCCACACGGGGGGGGGTTAGTTTTAACAGTGTTACAACAGGACCCCTAATAACCAATGAAATTCAGAATCCGTCTATATAAATTCTACTTTCCTTCAATGTAGAATTGTGTTAAATTAACTGTAACTGTATTGATTTATCCAACGTTTTAATGACTGTTACAGCTAGTGCCTCAGTCTGTTACATGTAACCCTGCCTATGGGGTTAAGTTGTAAAATTTGTGCTCACTGCAGTAGGTGCTCAAAACAAAGTTTACATTTTATAGCAGAGTTTTTATAACAATGTTGCTTGAATACTTTTGAAATGATTTAGTTAATAATAATATTTGTTAATTTGTGCCCTGCTCTCTTAAACTTTTGTCCATTTTAAAAGATAAGTAAGTCATACAGGATCGGAAACCACACAAATAAGTCTACTAGAAATAACTAGAATTAACAGACAGGGAAATAAGTGATGATTTAGACTTGCTGTTAGCACAGTCCTAATTGGCTGGGTCCAAACTTTCATTTCAAGGACCCACCTTAGGTACATTAGCCTCATAGCTCCAATGCAAAGCCAAAAAATCAAACTTCAGACATTAAGTATGTCCTGTTTAATCAACTACATTCAGGCCAAAAAACTGCACTTTTTATGCCAAACTATTCCTTTAAAAGTAAAGGGAAGTTGAATTTACCTTTGTCATTGAAGCTCAGCTAAGAGTCCTGCTCTGGCGTTTGTAGTCCTAGAAAGCACCCTCCATTGTATATGCTGAATTGCATTCATTCTAACAGAGCCACTATTGTCTCGTCATTGTAAACAGACATGAATTACCGCTATTTCTGTGCCGAGTTCCTCTTATGAGGCTGCCTTTGTCAGCATGCCTCCAAGCTAGGCGATGGTCCAGTGCACAGCATACTCGATAGTTGCACAGTCCATCCATCATGATTATTAGAAAAATGTACAAAACCAAAAGGTGCCCTCGAAAGATAAATGACAACTCACGCAGGCATACAGTAGAGCTCACTCTTCCTCATTGCACTTGGTATTGTTTAAGTGTGCGGGAGGTGAACTGTGGGCTTTTCCTCTCATTGATAGCTGCTCTGGGAACAGCTCGGGCCCACTTGCGTGGGCTGTGTGGTATTGGATTGTTCTGGCTGGCCTGGGCCTCGGCTCAGCTGGACACGGACCCAGCTTGGAGGCTGTAGGTAGTTTCAGAGTTGTGAGAGTCCCTAGTTGGTGTGCTTTCAGTTGATGTTCCTTGGCCCTTCATCCTGGAGAAAGTGCATCTAGAAGACAGAGAGACGGATCTGTATTGTTTTAACTAAACATAAAAGTGGTTGTAGTTTTGATGTAGGTGATACTATGAAGTTGGAGCTCACCCCTCCCTCCTGCTAGCCCCCAACATGCACATACAAAAAAACTTAGCTAACATTTAGATTAGCTAGCTAGCTAAAATTAGTTGTTCACAATCTAAACTGTGCTGTTTTTAGTCTCACATTACTGCTGATGCGGTTTCATACAGCAGTGAGTGTTTACATGCACTCAATAATCCATTGAGTGCATAATCAGATTTCTGCAGTAAACTGATCATTCAAATAGTCGTGTAAACAGCAAATCTGATTTCTTAGATCGGAGTAATGTCTAGAAATCTGGTTAAGAAATACGATAGAACTGGATTTTAGCTCAGTAATCAGATTTCTCAGTGCATGTAAACTCTTACTCTGATTTCTTAATAAACACCAGTGACCATACATGCCTATGTAATAATACTGCCTCCACCATGTTTGACAGATGATGTGGTATGTTTCAGATCATGAGCCCTTCCTTTCCTTCTCCACACTCTTCTCTCACTGTGATTCTCGTCCAAGTTGATCTTGGTTTTATCTGTCCAAGGAATCTTGCTCCAGAACTGGGTAGGCTTTTTTTATATGTTTTCTAGCAAAGTCTAATCTGGCCTTTCTGTTCTTGAGAGTCACCAGTGGTTTGCATCTTGAGGTAAACCCTCTGTATTTGGATTCATGAAGGCATACTTTGATTGTAGACTTTGACAATAATACACCAAGCTCCTCTAGAATGTCTTTGACTTGACTAGATGTTTTGAAGGGGTTTTTCTTCACTACAGAAAGAATTCTGGGATCATCTACTTTAGTTGTCTTTTGGTGTCGCTGAGCTTGCTAGTGCACTCCTTCTTTTTAAGAATGTACCATTGATTTGGCAACCCCAGACGTTTGTGCTATCTATCTGATAGGTTTGTGTTGTTCTTTCAGCGTAATGATTGCCCCTTTCACTTGCATCGACATCTCATTGGATTGCATATTGAGAGTTCCTGTGAACAGCGAACAGCTACCAAATACTTTTGAGCATGTGAAAATGGAGGGACTATTTAAAAATGGCTGTAATTCCTAAACAGTTAATGCAATATTCTTGTAAAACTACTTGAATTAAAGCTGAAGGTCTACACGTCAATCACACCTTGAATGCTTCATTTCAAATCCATTGTGGTGGCGTACCGAGGCAAAATGACCACAAAAATGGTCACTGTCCAAATGCTTATGGACCTGACTGTAATTGCCATGGGACTTTGAGTTATAACTCTATTTAGAGTTCCACACAGTCTGGCATAAATCCCTGTTTTTCACAATAACACAAAACCTTTCACTGACAATGTGTGTGTGTTTGTAACTGATGGCTACAAAAGTCCCAGATCTGCAGGAGAAATGTGTGTACCTGTGCCTGCTAGTCGTCCAGGTGTTGCTCCTCCCAGGTGGAGGTGGGGATGGCGCTGTAGGGGTCCATGATGACTTTGGCACAGCGGATGATCATGGCCACCAGCAGCAGGCAGAGGAAGGCGATGCATGCCAGAGTCAGGCCCTGATCCACGTCCACAAAGGCTGGGTCTGGCGTAGTCTCCTCCATCGCTTCGGTCTATCCACATCGATCCGGACCACTGCTACCATCCTGATCGCTTATCTGAAAGAGAGAGAGAGAGAGAGAGAGAGAGAGAGATAGAGAGGTGTATCTCATATCTCCTTCATAATGTCCTATGTGCAAATTACCAACAGTGCTATCCAAAACTAGTCTTTTATCAGTTTACGTTCCCAAGGCCATCATTGTCAGGATCAGTCAATATCATCAATAGCTTCTGTTTATGAGTCTGTTTCTTCAAGATCATGTGCAGGTCAGGCTACACTCGCTCAGCATCAATGAAACATTCCAATGTTTTATGGTTCTAGTGCGCTTGAAGGTCTAGTTCAGGCAAAAGTCAATCAGTCTATCAACCAGGACATGTTTGGTGTCTGAAGTTTTCTTCTTCAGTTTTGCACTGAAGCTACAAGGCTAATGTAGCTAACAAATAATGGAAGCTCATAGCTAATTAGCAATTAGCACTATGCAGCATGCCATCACAGCAAACTTGCTTCAAACTAAGTATCTCAAACAATACAGAAATACAGAACAACACAGCAAACCTAAATCAATTCAAATCAGTAAATCAAACCAACACAACAAACTTCAAAACCTGAAACTAATCATCCTGGTCTATAATACCACAGCATGAAGAATGGTTATGGATCATTCTACTGAACTGGTTCAGACTTGACTGGATTTTAGATTAAAGTCCTTTTGCTTTGAGTGACTCTTTACCTTAACTATGTATATTTTATTAAAACAAATGTTTGACTTTCCATTTTCTCACTAAATAAAAAACTATAATAACTACTGAAACAAAATAAGGTCCTTATGGACCACTTGTGTATTACCTTTTTTAATAGCTTGATGCATCGAATTAGACATTTGCTTTGACATTTTGACACATTTTAGCTTTTCTAGTAAACAACCATCGTAAGTACCCAATTCACAGACCATTCACAATGGGTAGAAAATGGCATATATATATATATATATATATATATATATATATATATATATATATATATATATATACATATATATATACGTCAATGGAACCAGACATCTTTCCAAGTCATTTTCGGTCGTTTCTTTTAGTCCATTCATCACAAAAGTTACAGACAATGTTAAGAGCAACAATTATTTTCAAATTATGTCAAAAAGTGAAAAATGACAAAATTGGTTCATATATATATATATATATATATTTATATATAAACCATTTATGAACATTCAATTTCTTTGCCTTAAGAAGCTCTTGGGTTGCTTTTACAGTATGTTTTGGGTCATTGTCCATCTGTACTGTGAAGTGCCGTGCTATCAGGTTTGCAGCACATGACCGAATCTAAGCAGAAAGTATAGCTCTGTACACTACAGAATTCATCCTCTGTCAGCAGTTACATTATCAATAAACACCAGTGACCCAGTTCTGTTGGCAGCCATACATGCCATAATACTACCTCCACCATGTTTTACAGATGATGTGGTATGTTTCGGCTCATGAGCCCTTCTTTTCCTTCTCCATTCTGTTCTCTTCCCATCATTCTGGTGCAAGTTAATCTTGGTTTCATCTGTCCAAAGAATCTTGTTCCAGAACTGTGAAGGCTTTTTTAGGTGTTTTCTAGCAAAGAAAGCTAAGATATAAAGTGGAGCTTGGCACAGATCATAATGATTTGATTGGCCATAAAACAGTGACAGCACTCACAGGAAGCAAATCAAATTTCATTATCATAAAAATATTAAGATGAATAAGTCTAAATAAATATTCTATCTGTGGGCCTGTGATCAATTTGGGTAGGCCAATCCCTGAGCAAACCTCAGACAACAAACATGTCTGAAGGTGGAGATTCTGAAAATTTGATTAATACTTTAAATAGTTCTGCACAATGCAATTTATCCTCTTTGAATTAGTACAAACTTAAAACCACTCCACAGCAGGTCTACTGAGACCAGTGGGCCATGCTTGGCTGGAACTTGTCTCAGACTTGGCAGAGAAAAACAAGCAAAGGATCAGAGCCAGAACCTGGAACGGACACAATGGGCGCACATTGCTCTCTCACTGAGGGCAGCACAGTCCGGGGCCAGTGTTATTAAAGAGGACAGATCACTTACAGCATGACTCAAGCCAGAAACATTCAACAGAGGTGAAGTGATGTAGGCCAACTTTCAAAATGAACTTTGAATGTACATCTTTGAACATAGTCACTGTGTTAACAGGTTGCACACTTTTTTTCATGTTAAGTATGTACAGTGCATTTATGTCCACTGTGGGATGAGTCTGCACATAGCTCATCTGACCACAGAGAATTACTGTATTTGTAATACTCAGGGCTGTACCTAAACTTTTTAAGGAGGTAGCATTGGTGCTGGAAATGTTACAGATATTGTAGCTCATAATAAAAGACTGTAGAAATAAAGCAACAAAATGCTTCTTCACAAACATGCAGAATCAGTTTCTCCTATCATATCGCTGTTGTCGGAAGGAAACTTTGTATCTCCATTTTTGTTGGTTTTCAGATTTTGACATAATTTGAAAATGCATATTGCCCTTTGTATTATCTGTAAATTTCATGATGAATTGACCACAGGTAATGGCCCAAAAGGACTTGGAAAAAAATTCTGGTTCCATTGACTTACATTAAAAGTAAAGTAAGTTTTTCAAAGTAGGTTTTTTAAAGTAGGTTTTTTCCTTCTCCTTGTCCTGTAAAGTTACAATTTCGGAAGGTTTTCTTCCGACAACAGCGATATACAACAGTGAAGATGGAGTTGTTTTTAATTCAATTAAAGTCAGTCGCATTACTTACTTAATAATGAATTTCCTCAAGTTTTCTGGCATTTTATGTACACTCTATAGTCAAAAGTATGTGGACACACCTCCTATTTATTGAATTTAGGTGTTTCAGCCACACCCATTGCTAGCAGGTATACAAAATCAAGCTGTGCAATCTCCATACAAAAACACTGGCAGTAGAATGGATCATACTGAAGAGCTCAGTAACTTTAAATGTGGCACTGTCATAAGATTCCAGCTTTGCTGCAAGTCAGTTTGTGAAATTTCTGCCCTGCTAGATCTGCCCCAGCCAACTGTAAGTGCTATTAATGTGAAATAGAAGCACAGTGAACCACTTCGTGTGTCAACCGATATTAATCGCATTTGTCTTATTCGTTCACATTTGGACCCACTTTTCATCGCTGTCCAGTGAGAACAACAGTGGCTGCCCATTCCAACTCTTGGAATGAAAACTTTAGTGTTTAAACAAACTGGGAACAGGTGGAAATAACTTTATAGACATCAAAAAAACTCAGCACTTAAAAGCAGTATTTGAATGAAAGAGCAAAATGCGGCTGTAACTTATGATAAGGCTGAGGTTAGCTTCTTAGTCCAATTTGCCGTTCCACCTTAAATGGTGCAGCAGTTACATTCTGTTGCATTCTGGATAATGTAACTACTGCACTATTTAAGGTAGAATGGCAATTTCGAATAGGAAGCTGGCAAATAGGAAGCTAACATCAGCTTTGTGGAAGTATGGCTGCATTAACTTCAGCTAATAAAAGCCACTGTTAGTCATAGTTTCACATTTGAATCATTCTGATAATCACGTTTGATTAGCATCATTTTAAAAACTGGAAGTAAATAGCTCTACTGATACCGTCTCCCTGTAAAGCACCAAGGTATAATTCCGTTTATAATCTGATAAGTAAACAGTGGTGATAATTTCATATTTATTTAACTACTAGGTGATTTTTGTGATGTTACACGGAAACATGAGAGGTTCAATTAAAATCTAGCAATATAATAACTGTGGTTCAATTTACATTCTGCACAGCGTCTCAACTGTTTTGGAAATGGGGTTGTACTAAGGACTATGATAACTTTGATCACTGATATCATCACAGGAACTTTACATAATACACCCCTAGTTCATACACAGCATCATTGTTATCTTGCAGAGTTCTATTAAATTACAGTTCCTCAAAGTGCATTATATCTTTTATCTTCATTTTGTGAAAATGGTAAACATTCCCAACATGTAAATAACTGAAGATTCTACTCCACTCCACTCAGTCTCTCATGCATATGCAGAAATGTCAGCATTAGTTGCAAAATAAAACCTCTAGCTGATGCTCTGGTTGCCTTTATAAGAAGCATATAAACTGTTTGCTGCCTGTTTTCTATTCACCTTGATGATGAAATGGAAGATCTTCTGGAGAAAGCTCAACCTGGGATTAAATATAGAAGAACTTTGAGGCATCTTGACTCACCATGACCTCAAACTGCCAATAACGTTGTCCACATCACAGCACTTCAAATTCAAGGCTTAAAAATACATTACCCAGAGTGCCGATGGATTATGAAAGGCCTCCACTGACAGAAAAGTAAACAAGTCTACATGCACTAATATATCTTAGGACATTTAGAACATTAGGCTCTTTCTGAACATTTTGGGGGCCTGAGTGGTATTCTACTCGGGGGGTTCCTACACACCTCAACAGTAATGCTATCCATGCGGGAAAGAAATTTTGTCCAACACTGAAACAAGTTAGCTGAGGAAAGATCTAATCAAATAAAGAAGTATTTGCTGTAGTCTATAACATGACCAACCATTAGCAAATGAATCAGAGTTAGCCAACACCTCATCAAAGATACTAACTAGTTAGTGACTTGTTATTTTATTTGAACTATGATAGGCCTTAATAGTGGAAGCAAGAAATTGAACCATGAACTCACTGTGTTTTTTTTTACTATTTGACACACACTATGGCCAAACGTATATGGACACTTCTTAATTACTGAGTTTAGGTGTTTCAAAATGAGTTGTACTGGAGAGCTCAGTGACTTTAAACTTGGCAGTGTAATCAGATGCCACCTTTCCCAAAAGACAGTCCGGGAAATTTCTGCCCTGCTACCTCTGCCCTGGTCAACTGTAAGTGCTATTGTTGTGAAATTGGATCATCTAGAAGCAACAGCAGTTCAGCCACAAAGCGGTAGACCATGCAAACTCACAGAGCAGGGCCACAATGTGCTGAAGTGTGTAGCACAAATGTCGCCTGTCCTCTGTTGC